GCGTAATTGTTTACATAACAGAAGTGAAACGGTACTCAAATATAGAACAAAATATGTAAAAATTAAGATAACTGTAACAATGATATATATTGTAATTATCACTTTTCCATGTCATAATAACATAAAGGCGCAGAGGCCCCTTGATTTAAGATAATAATTTCAATCGCATATCACACTTCCTTTAGACACCTTCATGGTGCGTAGCTCTGAAAGATGTCGCGTCTCGCTAGTGCCTTTTTCCTCTGTTCCATCGTTAGTGCCTACTCAGTGCCTCTACCAAATGCAACTGTGTTCACCTCAACTTACGCTAAAGTGGCTAAATGGGGTACGGACACCCTGAAATCTTCAGTCGGCGAGGGAAGAAGTGCTGGACAAACTTTTTTCACCCAAAGGTAGTGACCATACAAAAAAAATGCTTCTCATTTTATTCTGATTTTCTTCAAATGAATTAATTTTGAATACCTCTCTAGATCGGACGCTAGTGTAAGAAGTGGACAAAATATAAAACCCAAAGAGGTAGTTTACCATTACAGTATGGCTTCGGATTCTCGCGTTGGCGAAGACAAGAACGAGCAGCTTCCAGCTAGGGGTGAAGTGGTCATCCAGGATAGGTTTCATCCACCCCCGTTTTTCAATTACTTTGTTAAAAATGGTCACGAACATGATCATCATCAGCATTCTGAATCTAAACCTTCGGTGGTTTACGCATCCCCTGCCGATCTACAATCCGATAAACCACCGAGCGTTGACGCTCAACCCTCCGTGGACAGCTATAGTTCCCCACTTTCTTCATACGGTCCTGTAGCTTCTGGTATACCAAAGGACACAAAAACGCCTATGATGGATTCTTTTGATAACCCTATAAACTCTTATAATCCACCACCCAGCGGACCTCCAGATTCTAAACCAAAATCGCCAGACTCCTTCCCGCCTAATACTCCTTCATTCTTAGATTATAATCCTTCTAAGGGTAAACCGAAATTTCCAGGATATGTATATGATCCACCAATTCCCGATTCGCCTATGCCAAGCGCTCCTTCCATGCAGAAACCAGCAAATAACAAACCAAAATCTCCAAATACTTTCCCGCCTAACACCCCCGCCTTCTTAGATTATGATCCCTCTAAGGGAAAACCTAAATTTCCAGGATATGTATACGATCCACCGATTTCCGATTCACCTATGCCAAGCGCTCCTTCCATGTCTAAACTGAAACCCCCAAGCATGGCTAAATTCCCAGGACCTTTAGCGCCTCCACCAGATGATGATGATTCTAAAAGTCACGATTACATGCCTCAACCCTCAGGTCCTGATATGGACCAAGGTCCTCCTATCACACAAACAGTTTCACCACCCTCGGGTAGTGGTTACTACAATTTTGATCACGACCATCACCACCATCACCATCATCCTCATAGCGATGACGCTAAACCCGATGATAGCGACCTATCACCGCCTCCAAGCGGACCACCAGCATCATTTCCAAAACACATCCCCGAATATTTAGATCACGACCCATCAAATGATTACCATTATCATCACGTTCCCTACAACTTCGATCACCACCACCATGTGTATCACGAGGTGAAGACGACCACGACGGAGGCACCGGTTGAGGATGAGAGAGTCAACAAAGGCCATTACAGTTACTATTATTTGGGAAGGAAGCTGTGGTACATCCCATTGTATTTCAGCGTATACTTCATTATATACATCACGATTCTCATATTGAAATCCATCGCCAGGCATAAGGTCAACTTCGTGCACGAATACGACAAGGGCAAAAGTCGCAGCTTCGATACGACCATTGATGATACGGAGAGGAACGTTACAACGGCTATAAATAATTTTCAAAGAAGATACCTTGCTATGTAAAATAATATTCGTATAATTTTGAATAAAACAAACTATCTACACAAAAAAAATGTTTTTATTTATATTATATAAACATATTTATTATATTTATTTCAAGTTCAAAGAGATTCATTACATCCCTAGCTTGATTCGAGTCTATGAGTTTTATTGATTTACACCTAGTCTTGCGATTGGTGTTAATTGCTCGAATACATAAATAGAGTCTGGTTTTAGAATTTTCGGTTAAATACGATGTAGGACGAGACGGGAGACGTATATTTAATTAAATTAAACATTAATGATTATTTGTGGAATCTGAAATGATTTACTTGTCGGACTGGGCGATTCCAGTGCTAGAGATGTTAATTGAATTAGTGGTGGGCTACAATAATGAACCTGCAGAGGCGTTAAGTGGCTTCTCTTTGTTTTAATTGTCAGGTGTTAATCAGTTGTACGTTGTTTTAATTAAGATTTCGATATAAACAATATATACCGTTTAGCAAGCATTAGACTGCTGTATTAGAGATGTGACTTAGTTAACAACTAATGGAACTGTGTACTTTATATATTATTGGAATATGATTCCGTTACAATTTGTAACGTGTTAAATACTTTGTCAATTAAAATATTAAAAACCTGTATATGAAGCGTATCTCGATGTCATTTCGTACCTGATGTGCCATATAAGCGTTGTATTAGTCACTTTTTTTTTTTCGTGATAGTACGCCGACGCGTGTGCTAACTTCTCCTGAGAATATTTTGTTTAAGACCTCTGAAAATATTAGCGCGTGTAGCCAGAGGTTTGTGACAGTTTTGTGTTTTATAGTGAGCTAAGAACACGTGCTGCATCCTCCATCCAACCGAAATACTCGACTTGCATTCCACATTATCGAGCTGGAACTCAACCGAAAATGCATATACTCATCTTATTTTTGTACTTGGTGAATCTTACCTTCGCCAGGAGTGTTAACTCGACGGGAACAGAAGTGGTGTTGGCCACCACAACGCAGAACCCTGTTGGTACTACCCCTTCAATACCGGAAAGTCCACCCTTATCCAGGTACAAGGCAACTTTGTGCTTCAGGCAGGCGATAATTAGCAGTTCTGTGCTCTTCCAGGTACGAAAAGGGATTGGAGGACTACGATGAAGCCGTCGAGAATATGAGGAAAGCTAGGGGTATGATGATGGATGATGAATTGGATTATGATCATGACCATGATTTTGCTCATGATCATGACCATCACCATGATCACGAGCATCAACCGCCGATGATGAAAGAAATGGTAGAGCAGAAGGCCGTCAAATCCGACCCTTGGGCCGGTTACTACGACTTCATCATCAACGAGGGATCATTCAAGTTTTGGGCTGCTTTTCAGGTAAGATAATTTTATATACCATTCGAAAAATATAAACCCTTCAAAAACTCAACCCTAAATAGTATTTTTAAACAACAAATCTCAAATCTTTAAGAAAAATATATTATTACGAATGAATGAGGTAAATCAAAATACATCAAAATATTAAATACACAAAACTAATTATTATATAACCATTACACAAATTAATAGAATAAAATGTACAGATAAAAAAATAAGTAGCTTCTTTTATTTATATGATTTCTGCACAATTAGATATAAAGAAGATATTTAAAAAAAATGTGAATTTGTAACATCTCTTAAAAAATCATTTATTAAAAAGTAAACTAACTTGTAATGTTCTTATATAATTATTTCATTTCATAAGCAAAAATTTTAATTTTACAATGAGAATTATAATTATTTCTTTTTCAAAATGTAATTTATTATTTTATTTCTTTAACAATTTGACTATTTGGACCAAATTTTCCCAACAATCATTTATTATTAATATTGAAATAATAAGCATTAATTATATAATTTTTATAAAGAAAAAATGGACATTTAGGATTATAATACTAGTAAGTTTTTTGTTAACGATTATTTTCTATACAGTTATAGTGAAATTGTAAGAAAATAATCTGAAAAAAAATGAGAGATTTGGTCTAAATACTCTTGTGTAAAAAAATAAAGAAAATATATAACTTATGAATGAACAAATATTTCACTATAAGTTGTAAAATTAAGTATAAAAAATAATGTTTTGAATGAATCTGTTCTTATAATAATGAATAATTAAATTAAATATATAGAAGATAATCTTAATACAAAAAGAGAATAATACAAATAAAAAACAAATAAGAATCAATGGTTTTTAGGGCTTCTATTGTAAATGAAAGTGTTAGTAATGAAAATTCGTCACAAAAACTATAACCTAAATATTATATAAGGTAGTATAGTTTACGAAAAACCGGGTTAGAGGTGTCACATTGGTGAAATACGTCAACTACGTTTTGCATTTGATTAATGTGATTGTGGATGGAGGAGGAGACATCAATGCAAAGAAGAATAAAAAAGAAGAGCAAATAAACAAACGTCATGAATAAAGAAAGAATGGAAGAAGAAAAAAAAGAAGAACTGTGAAGAGTAGTGTGAACTATTTAGAGCGTGCACGAACAGAGCTGCTCTTGTTTGCGCGTCGAATTAAAAATCAGATTCAAATTTATTAATCAAATTTGGTACAGCTATAAATCAAATATTATCTCAGGTCCGCGTCTTCAATTATAATGTCATTGTTATTTTATCGATATGACGAAACGATTTTGTGTATGGTTACGAATGCACCTTAAAAAAATATTTTAGTAGGAGCGGTTCTTCAAACATAGGAGATTTCAAAATCAACTTTTATAGGAATTAGTCAATAGTAATCTATTAATGAATATGATCATACAACATTGTATAATCAAGATTTTAATTGAATATTTAATATTTTAAAAGAATTATTACATTTTAAGATTATTCAAATTCAACAGAAAATGTGACAATATATCCAAATGCTGTCTAAATTATTTAATCATTTTTTTTTAATTAATTTAAATTGATTAAATACTTACATTATATGAATGAACAAATATATGAATACAAACATTTTATTGAATGAATATGAAAAATATTCTAAATAATTATAGAAACACATTTATTAAGAAAATTTCTATATTAATGGAAACATTAGAAGAACTCAAAAAAATAACAATTGTTTTATCAAAATGCGCAATAGAAGACTCTTTGTGATATAATTAAAAATTATTTTTAAAGTTTTCCATTTATTATGAAAATGTTTTAAAATTATTATATTAAATTATATTGTATATTATTTTTGTAAAAAATTTGAAACAAATTTGATTTTTTTTATATGAGAATCAAAGCAGTGAAGAAAATTGTTACTAGGTCTTCACGGATTTGTGTTTCGTGTGAATGCATTGGTATTTCATCTTCAAAGTCCGTTTTCTGTATTATTTCTGGTCCATTCCCGTAAACCGTTTTGCGTCAGGTGCTTTGTGGTCCAGTTCGCACCGGGCAAATTAACACGTCTGTACTTTATGTTTGTTTTATTGTGTAATGTCGAAAAACACAATGGCGCAACGAGGCGGAGCTGCCTACACCACAGACCGTTTACATTGTTTCAACTACTACAATAGCGATGGCGCTACACCAACTGGACTTTAATATTTAGCACTTTCAGCTTTCAACCATCCATAAATTATTGGATTACACTCAACAAAGAATTTATGAAAAGTATACATAAGTTTCTAGCATAAAATCATGAAACTTTCGATTTTCAAATTATTTTTTAATAATTTAACAATTCTTACAATTAACATATTTTCATTAATATCATTCAATTCTTCATACAGTATCAGAAGCAATTCAATTTCTTGAGATGGTAGTAGATTTTTCATTGATATCATTTATGTTCTTCATATAGTAGCAGATTTTCATAGATGTAATTAATATTACAATTATTACAACTTCTACAACTTTTACAAATTCTAAATAAAATATAAATATAAATTAAAAACTTAAATTTATTGCTAAACCAAGGTGACTAAATGCAAAAGGAAATTCACCGGAACTACTCGATATTCCTTGCATGAAGAATGCCATAATTAAAACCTCATCATCGTTCCTAATTTCTTTTCATCGCAATTATCATATGGAAGAGGAACAATGATGTATTTTAATTATAGTTAAATTGCTGAAGGTCCACCGGTTACAGCCGTATCTTCCAGAAAAAAAAATATAAGTATAGCCTATGAACATATTGTTTGCAAATCAGGCGAAATCATAATAGACAATATCAACCAAAGCCCGAATCCGTTGCGCAACCGCTTATTTATTGCCGCCACGACGGATTGCATAATCTCCCATTGATAGTTCATCTCCGACACACAATTATATAATACTTTTCTATAATTCAACTTAATTGTATGTTATTACTATATTTTCGGTTCGAAGGTAGGTTAATAAAAAACAATTGTGTTTCAAATTACAGGAGAGAAGTTGCCGAATTTGGACCACCGAAATATTTTTTTAAAATTTATATTTGATCATTTCCAAGTAAATATCGCTGAATTTAAGTAATATATATTATCTTTTGAAGAGATGTAACTTATTTGATATTTGTTGTTGAAACAATGCTTCCCCTCTTTATGAAGATGGTCGCATTATTCTTAGGAGCCCACGGGCTATAAATATCTTCAGACGGCCCTCTCTTGAAGTAAACTAATTGATTGTTGTTATTCTTTCAGTTGGGTACAGCCTTGCTGTTGATCTATTCAGCGTTTGCTGCCATTTACTATGCCAAGTTCAATCCGATCACGACAGACTACGACTACTACGATGACTTCATCTTCAGAGGAAAGCGATCTCTGAGGCCATCACCGAGCACAAACTGGTTCGGTCTGGATGCAAGCACCTTCCAGCGGATCTTGAACGCAATAACGACGAACAAATACTCATAATAAGCAACCCGTCGATGTCGACCTGTACATTTTAGCCCTGCCAGACGTTTTGGACCAATTCAAAAGAGCAGTGATTAATCTTCTTTGAAACCTTCAAAATATCGGTCTTCCTTTTCTTTTCGTTTTGCTTGCCGTTTTTACTTATATAATTATGGGTGCGCATGGTCCGCTTTCGAATCAAATGGGACAAGCGGACCATACCAGGGGAATTTGTTGTTTTATGTTTGTTTTGTAATTTTTTGGGTGTAAATTAATCTTAGACGTCCCTTGTTCGACTTTTCGCCTACTTCCGAAGAGTCCAACAAGGCCTGCGACTGGTTCTCTGCCATTGAACCATCGCCGAGAAACATGGATACAGTGAGAGGTAAAAAGGTCTAAAAAAATTAATAATAAGGGAAAAAATAATAGTTCGTTCATAAGGGTTAATGTTTCTTAGGAAATTTGAAAGGTGTGTTTAATTGCTTCGTAGCTAAATCTTTCTTTCTTTTTGTATATGTTATTATTATTATTTTGTGTTTCATATTTGTTCCTGTATGTTTTTGACTTTGAAGGAGATTAGTGTTTAATTTTATTTTTTAATGAAAAATCTAGGAGAAGGAAGTTGGCAAATTGATTAATAAAAAGTAATACATTTTTTTTGTAACCACTGAATTTCTTTCATAGATTCCACCAAAACCTGCGTTAGCTACAAACCCATTGAGCTGAACAATTAACACAGATGGTGATTAAACTGAATGAATTGTAGAAGAGCGAACTCTTGTGGCCCGAGGCTCGAAGGAATAAAAAAGTATAATAATAAAAAGAAGACGAAGAAATGTTCCGTTCCATGCGACCGCCTCTGACCATTTCGAATTACACAATGATCGTGAATTAATAACACACACGGCGTTTAGCTTCTTTCTTCCTCCCGCTTCCTCCACCTCTGAAGACATCGGTATTTTCTCCTTCGTGGCCGATGGAACGGCATTACAGTTACCCGAAATGTAATCACCCGAAAACGACACGGTTTATTTGGGATTACTTCATTTGAACCAATTAGATTTGTAGAAAAATAAAAAAAAATGTCGATAACCGGTTAACTACTCGTCTTTTTTTGTACATCTGCCGTTTCAGTAGTAAAATGTTCGTCATTTTTTTTTAAACTTTAGTACATAGTACTTTCTTGCGTGACAAAGGTCAATATTACCATGTTTATGCACGCATGTTACTTATAACAATATTTAAAAAATTTAATTATTATACATGAAAATGTTGACACTAAAAATCTATTGTTTTGAAATCATTATTAAAAAAAAATTAAGAAATAAATAATAAAATTATTAATTTTAATTTATAATATAACTATGCAGAAATTTATTACATTCCATAAACCAAAAAAATAATGGATTTTTTTTGTATATTTTTTAAATTTGAATATTCATCTTAAAATGTGCATTTTTTTTTTGAAAAAGATTGAATTCAATTAAAACTATTTTTTTTTCGGTGTGACATTTTAATAATTACTTTGTAAACAAATCAATTGCAGACGGTAAACAATATTGTTGTGCTCCAAGGTGTTCCAATTCATTTATACGAATACACTGTATGGATACGAGCTCTGCACAATATATGATGAGCAAAGCGGATAACCTTGGAGATGAATTCGCCTGTAATTAATGTCCAAGACAGGATGAAACAGAAAATTTTCAATTGAACCCAAGTCTGATTCTCAATGACTTCATTTATATTTTATTAAAATTTATTGCAATAATATTATCATAACTTTTCTTCTTTAAATTTGAAAATTTATTTCGTCCAATTATCGTCTTTATTGGTCCAATTTAAAAAAAAAATGTATATACATATTATTTTTTTTTGTAAATGTTGTAAATTATGTAATTATTGAATTTTGTTAAGTTTATAAATATTATTAAATTGGAAAAAAAAATTATGATTACAATGAGTTAAATTATAAGTCTTCAACAAGTTTGTTGTAACCAAATCAAGATATTTTATAATACAGTTATTCCTAAACAGAAGTGTTTTTCAGGTCCAGTTAGCTTTGGCGGATTTCCGACACCTCTCGTCCATAAAATGAAAGGACGTTGTTATTAATTATTACACGTAGATGAGATTCCACCATTGGCTTTACTGTTAGATCGTACGTTTTATCGTTGGTCTCTAGAAACCTTTGCTATACCAAAACCCATTTCGTATGAAAAGAATATAAAAATGAACCATAAATCAAGCAAAGCAATCTTCCCAAAAAAAAACATAAACCCATTCTTTGTTCTCCAAACTGTGAGTTGCGTAAGATCTTCTACTTTATGTTTTCTGCCTTCATGGACATGAATGCTAAACAGTCTCGGACATCCTGGACATCCTTGCAAGGAGCAATGCAATTGCTTCGCACCAGGAACAGAATTTCGAGCCGGATTGTTCCGTCAATTACACACCAGAGACGTGGGTAATTTTCGACGTTGGCGATGACCGCGGTTAGAATGGAATGAGATGGTATAGAATGGTTTCGTTAAAAAGCAACTGGTGTGGTTCTGCAGCCATGGTGCGATGCCATTGAACTTGACGCCACTTCCTCTTTCTTCTTGGGGCTCTCCGTCAAATAATTCTAACGCATTCGTCTTTCCCATAGACAAAAGACCTAATTTGTATTCCAACCATAGAACCACGACGCACGGCAGATTTTTTTTACCTACATACCTCTCCTCTCCCACCGTCGCACAGTTTATTTACAAACATCTGAATCCAGTTGTTTTTTTTTCTCTCTCAGCCTCACCATCTCACACCTACTATTACATAAGCACACTGCAATTAAATGCAATTTCCGAGAGAGGAAATGCGCCGCAATCCACTCACCTAAGCAAGATTAAGAGTCGTTTCATATAATTTCAGGAAACGAGAAAAAAATTGAGAATATTATTTTTTCCCACTTACTAAACGAGTATTTCCGTATACAGAGAGAACTCTTCTAACGTATTTAATTCATTTATAATCAAGTTTAAGGACAATTTTAATATGACAATTATTACAAAAAAAATATCAAAAATATTACAGTTACGTAAATAAATTATAAAATTAAATATTACTTATAATACAAAGGAAAGAATGACTAGTAAATTTAAAAAAATAATTGAGATTTTTAAAGTAGTAATTGACATCACAAAAATTTGCTATAAATAGATTTTGCATTATACTTTTATTGTGAATAGTTATGTAATTTTAAGAATTCAATTTTTTTATTTTTGTTAATCTTCAATAATTATGTAATTTTAATAATTACAAACTTTTGTTAATAAATTAATATAGAATTAAACTAATTTTAATTTATATTATTTTATACTATGTAATTTAACAAATTTTTGTAAACAAAAAAATATTTTTATTAGAATTGAACTGATTTTAGATTATATAATTTAAATAATAAATAGTTATGTTGTTGTGTCCAACCGTTATTATTACAATTATTATTGTTAACATAGTGTCTCTTAGTCGCCATAATAAATATATGAATCAGCATAAAGGTAGCCTTCGAGACCAGAAAGAACATCGTTTATATTTTCAACCAGACGCAGAATAAGCATTTTCATCGAGACCAGCTACTGAAAGAACATCGCTCATATTTTCAACCAGACGCAGAATTGGCAAATTCCGTATAGGAGCAGTCTCAACAAAATTGTGCTTACTCCTCAAACTCCCACCCCTTGCTTAGTTAACTTTATATGTAGAGTAAGGATTTGTAATTAGTCTTAGGAAGAACGCAAGAGAATAAAGTCGTATCGAATATTTTAATAATAAACCAAAAGTAAAACTCGTTCAATTTATTATTTACCAAACCTAAGGCTCCACAACAGACAACAGAAGAAGATATCCCACAGTGTCCAGAAAACCATCCCTGGGACACGACAATGTAATTTAATGTTTATGTATTTTGTTTTGTTAATAATAATAAATACATAAATAAATAAAAGATGGATTGTTTAGTGGAACAGATATTTGATTGACCCAGGCTGTGGAGAAATCCGAAATGATTGTTCCTGAATAAAATATGGGACGGAGTGAGTTTAGGAATTCATCGCGTGTCACATGTTGAAACACGTGTCGAATTGAAACGAAATGCAATTCATCTCGGTCCGAAATCTTTTCACAATTTTCTGACATTAAAATTCCATCCACAGAAAACGAAATAAATAAATTATTAATTTAAACACATAGTAATAATACAAGTTTATATAGAAAATTAACGTTTTTCAAATAATAATAAGCAAACATAATAAGTGTGAATAAAAGATTAATTACTAAATCTTAAGTTTTTACGGTAAAAAAGAAAGAAATTTCAAAGTATATTATGAACAATAAGGAATAGAAATTTTTAATCCGGACTATGTGAGGTTGTTGTATGTTAAATTGTACTCAACAATTATTTATTCAATACTTATTGATAATTATAACTATAAGAAAAAACATAATATTAATAAAAAAATGTATCGTAAAGATAATTTAGGTTTAGAATGTAGGAAACGTTTCGTTTTATTATTATATTGTGCGGATGCCATCTGTAAATACTTATTGGTTTCTTAAGATGTTATCGACCTGTGTGCGTTCGAAGTTTACGAGTGATGTAATTAGAGGTAGTAATGATCATTCTGAGGAGAACACATTATAATGGTATTGAAGGTAATTGGCGGTTCGCTTCCGGTTTCTCACTTTATTTAAAAGAGTTTATAATTCGTCAATAAAATCTGTATTGATGAATCCAATACAGCAATGGTAAAGCACATCAAGGTCTCTTCCGGTACTTGGGGTTAAACGTTGGGATGACCCCAACAGAAAAAAGAAGAAGCACGATGTTTTTCGGCCTTCGCAGGGATAACGAATACGCTGTTATGATAGCGGAATGGGATGACGATGGTAATGGTTGATGGGTGATGAAGAAGGAAGAAGACGGCTGATGATGGCAGGGGCACCGTCGAACGGACAAGAAGCGAGTCTAGGAGGAACAACAGTGTGGGTACTAGTTTCAGATCTACACGGGCAGCCCCGCGAAGCGCACTCCGAAATATAGCCGCGCAGTGATCATCGTTCGAGTGCGCGCCAAATTTAAAATCCGTGAAAAAAATATGAATTAAGTGCGGATGTTTGTGAGGAAATAGCTTAAAGGAAAGTTAAAGCAAAAACTGATCAATAGCCATGGAGACGTTCTGCACGACCTCAAGGCATCCGAAGTATCGTCCGTCCCTTAACTCCAGCAGCTACTACCAGGCCTCGACCTACGGCAGGAACTACAGACAGGTTTGCTTCTACTTACATACCTACCACCTTAAGCTCATCATCTGGGTTTACCTCCGCAATTAGCACCAATTTTCACCCGTTTCTTCCCGCGACAATGCCATTCAAATTACTTTATTTATTTTTCCGCGGAAAAAAAAATTATATATATACATTCACACACAAATATAAGTATATATTTAGCGTTCACAAATAAATATCGACGATTTGCTCGAATAGTATAAATAACGAAAAACCAGTCTCACAGACAGGTACCATAATATAATTCTCAAATAAATAACGACCACGGTCGTGGGACCTAACAATGCTTTGTTTCCTCCATTGTTGTTGTTGTTATTATTGTTGTTGTTGTCTTCTTTATCTCCAGCTTATTCCATGCATTCCAGCAATTAGCAAGATGGAAAAAGTTGTAGTGAAAGAGGAATACAGAAAGAAAAAATACAACATCCGTACACTGAGGAAACCCCGGAACGCAACGTGCCTCAGCTCTTAACAACTCTCGTACATGGCAAGAGCAAAGAACAAGTTCAAAGAAAAGCAAAGAAAATACGAAGCCAAGTGCAATTGTGGAAACACTCTTGTTGTTCCATTCCACGTGAATCAATAATTTAGTTGATACTAAAAGATATTATCTTATAATTCAATAACATTCCTCTTCACATCGGAACTAGTAAAAACAAAATATTAAAAATGTGTTTAATTCATATGTTTTTAGTTTAAATTTTAGGTACATAAAGTTACTATAAATCTATTGACTTTCAATTCTGTTCTTTCATTACAATTTTTACCAAATTTTATTTAAAAATAAAACAAGTTGAATTATTTTTAGTGAAGTAAAAATGATTATATATATAGAAAAATGCGTTTTCTCCAAAAAAAAAATTCTACATAAGTAAATTTTATTATAATTAATAAATCAAAAAAAAGCCAATTGCTTCAAAGGGCTATTGACCATAGCTCTTTCTGCCTCATTATAATTATTTTTAATTTATCTTCAAAAATGTAATTATGTTAATGAAATTATTATCAATTATCTTAATAAATCTATGATTTAATTGTAAAAAAAATCCCAAATTTAAAATAAAGTAACAGGAATCTTGATTATTTTAATTAATATCAATTTTACAATATAGAAATATCTTTCTTGGAAAAAAATACTTTAGTTTCCATATGTATTTTAAATTTATTTGTTTTGACGATATAAACATAATTCTTACACAGCGCATTTTTTTTTTAAATAATGATAAATTATTTTATTTTATTGTGTAAAAATATATTATACAATAAGATCATGTAAAAATCACAATAAATTTCGTATTTAGTATATTTCAAGAACCGTGAAATCAACTTTGTATTGTGTGATTTTTACGGAAGAGAAAACATGAATAATGTATCAATAGATCTAAATAAAATATATTTATTTTTTTTTCATTATTAAAATTATATTTTATTTAAGTGTAAAAACCTATGGATTAAAATAATTAGAAGTGATATTGATTTTATTATTGAAAAATATTATTATTACAGTTTATTAAAGTTTTTTTCTTTTATTCAAAATATATTTATTAATTTTTAACTGTAATTGAAAACGGTTAAATTAAAATGAAATGAGTATTTTTTTTATTATCATTTATGAGTTTGAAATGATAATTTTTTTCATATCATTTTACATAGCAGTAAAGATTAATTTTAAATTTTAAGAGACGAAGAAATATGTCCAAGATGAGTTTTTTTTCAATAACAATTTTTTGATTGGTTTTTTTCCAATTTCAATTATCATTTTTAAAGCTCGACGCGAAGACATCTTCTGCATGTGCAATAAAATAAACATGAACTTAATTAGTATTTCTTCAATAAACATGATTTATTGGTTAACACCATAACAAGAGTTCATCCATTCAAGTAGACGCTGTGCTTTTGAATCATGTTTCGCTTCTTAGAATAAGTTTCTGTTGCATGCGAGTCTCAAAATTGAAATTTTTTCAAACATGTTCTCTACACAATTGCTTATGAAACATTCTCTTCTTAGAATATTAAGTTTATATTTGATTGAAATATGTTTTGAAACAACATTAGCCAGAAGCTTCCAATTACTGGAAAATTTAAAGACGTTTATTTTTATTAGACACGGTGCGGATATATGTAATTATTTTTATATTCATCTCGTGCACAATGTTTTGCAACAAATAAAACTATTTTTATTCCACTTATTATGTACGGATTAAATTATTATTCAATGAAACTGCGGATTGATCAATATTTATAACCTGTAGAGCATTGAATTAATCCAAATTCGTGTAGTATTTGCAGAATGCAGAGATTTCATGTGATCCTGCGACAAAGGCGCACCTGTTGCACCTTGCACAGTTTGGTGCACGCATTCGGCAATATCAAGCGCATCGTGATGACTTAGTTCACGCCCGGCGCTGTTACATAACGACGACCGTGAAATTGGTGGCTTCGATCTGCGAAAATTGCTGGAGGCCGCAGAAGACAGAAATATTCTTGAACTCCCAGTTAAAATTGGGTCTATATCTAAATCCCGACAATCAAAATCCCGACATTGTGGAAATATCCGACAACCATAATACCGATACTGTAAAGTTTTTATTATGATTATTTCAGAAATATTTTTTTTTGCAAATCTTGATGATTAATTAATTACGTATTATATACGATTTAACTTAGGCACAGAGTAATTATAATGACGTAGATTCAAGACTAAATAGGAATGGATGAAATGTGGTCAACTTGAACAATCAAATTTAAGGGATGTAATTAAATAAATAAATGTTCGGGATTTTGTTACTGTCGGGATTTAGAATATCTGGATTTTAATTGACTTAATTTTGATCAGAATGAGTTAAAGTTTTATAGGAATGGATGAAATATGGTCAACTTTGTCCCGTACACTAAAAAAAATCATTGTTAAACGATATAATTAAATAAATAAGTTAAACTATATTTGAAGAAAAATCAATCTGTTTTTTATTTAATATTATTATTTCATTCAGATTCTGAAAATATGAATGTTTATATAATTTTATTATTTAACTTTGAATATTATCGGTTTATTTCCCATCTGAATATAGTCGGGTGCATGGAAATAAATAATTACAAATGTACCGTACGAAACGAAACGAAATATGCTTCGAAGAACAATCTTCGTTCTCTGTCACTCGACGCGCGTATTTATATATATAAAAAAAATTAAACACTTATTATGGCCACATAATGAACTTTAAAAGTACATAACAGTACATGAAAATAAACGAATTTATTATATAATAACGTTCCCTCTCTTTCTCCCACATTTATATTTTTTCATTCTTTTCCGCCGTCGGATTCTTGAGAATTTCGAGTAGTTTAACTTGTTCTACATTTTACAACTCTTCTTTTTTTTGTACACTTCTGTTCCGCTACGCCTCCAGAACTGTTTCGATCGTATTAACATTTGGAGTTTCAACGAACCGAAGGACGAATATGCAGTTGTTATTAATTTTTGCATTTAATAATACCATAACAATTCATAAATTTAGCTTTATTTTAAATAATTTGGATTAATATTCTAATTTTATTAACAAATTTCGTAAACGATTTTATTTATTTTTTGTATCTATTTGCTGTATATTTCATTCAATGATTGAAAAGTTTAATTAACTAATTTAATTGATTCGTTTAATTAAAGAAAGTCGTATGAGTTTTTCTTGAACTTCGTTGAAGAGAAAATTAGAAATTAGTATATTAAATTGGTTTAAAAACGATACAATTCTTAGAAATATAAGGAGAATTCTAGTATCATATTTATAAATTATATGAGAAAAAATTGAAGTACACATTGAAACACTGAGTGTGTACAAGCTTTTATATGATGGTAAGATGACCTACGACCAGGTCGTAAAACGATAAACATCTGATACATGGATCAAAGTTAAAGACATCATCAAGTATAATAAACTTCAAGAAGATCTTAGGAATGAAATAAAATTAAAAAAAAAATCTTAAAATAAAGTATTTTCTTTCAAAATATGATCAATAATAATTAATACAAATATAATTGATTTTTTTTTACAAATATTTAAATGATGAAAAATACCAATAAACATAATTTATTTTGTATTTTCTTAATGAAAAGTAGAGATGTGAGTGTTGTAATATTTGTAATTTAATTTTTGATTAAATTTGTAATAATTAATATAAAATGAAGATTTCTGTAAGTGAATAGGAAATTAATTTTATTGTAGATTTTGTAGTGAAGTTGAAATTAGAAACCTTAGTATTAATAATAACGAGGATATATCTATTCAAGTTGAATGAATGTCAACCTGTTTGTTCTATTTTTTGTTCATTTTTTGAGCAATATACGTTGTTGAACGTTGCATTCAGGAAAAGCGACGTCTAAATTTACACAAACAGGTTCTTTTTCCCGCATTTAAAGCCACTTAAACGTTGTAAGAGAGTGAAACGTCTACAGGACGAGGGGAAAAAGATGTTGTATAAAAATTGGCAAAACGTTGTCGACGGCGACGATCCAGGTTAATAGCACCGATGTAAACGCGCTGCCTACTTTTACAATTGTCTTGTAATGAGACATCCATAAATGGGGTCGAGGAGGCGAAGCTTGGATGGATGGATGATAGTTGAAGATGTTCATCGAATGATCGGTTCCTGAGCCTCACGTCGATAGTAACGAGGATGCAGAGAACTAGACAATAATGAGCAATTCCAATATGCCGTCCGAGCCACTATAAACCAGTTGTTGCAAAGGCCCGGCCAAGTCTTTAGATGTTAAGTGAGAGTCCACTGCACCGACCTGTTACGGCCAATGACAGTAAACCATTAAAAGTAAAAACATTGAAGAAATTGCTAACATTTAAATAATATGTATAAAACTGTACCAATGAAATAGAATACCAAGTAAAAACATGGAATTTCAATATTGACAATAATTTGGATAAAACTATACCAATCAAAGAAGATCACTAAATAATTGGCAATATCTC